TTTGCTAGCGCGAGCGCCCTTCACCGCCCACGAACACAAGATATCTTTGTCCATCGCTCCCCTTCCGAAGCGCATACATCTGTCCATGGATATTACTAGACGCTGCAACTTTTTCCTGCTCCGAAAAAATGCCAAAGAACGCACACCCGCCCCGCGGTAAACCTGCCAAGAAGTCAGTCCCGCCCGAAGAAGACACAAGCTTCATTGTGTTTGGCGACGGCAAGGCCAGAAAGAAAAAGGGCGAAAGCTCTGGCGGAGACGCAGCCCTAAACGACGGCAAAGGAAAGGGCAAGGGAGGAGCCGCTCAGCCTGAAGATGGACCGAAAAGACCAGACACTCGGACTTTGATAGCTGGCGCATCGTGGACTGGAAAATTGCCTGTCAATCTACTGTCAGAGCACTTCCAGAAGCAACAATGGGCTAAGCCAGACTATCGCATTGTATGGATATTCTTTCAAAGCAGATGCATCACAGCTGATGGTTTGTAGCGCAAGGATGGCGACAAGCATTTTGCCTATGCTGTGGTGTTGTCCAAGGTGAACCAGAAGACACGAGAGACGACGACTCTGCCGCCAATTAAGATCCCCGCCGAACTCGAGGAGCAGGCACACCAACCGACCGCTGTCGAGGCTCGCAACTTTGCGGCTGCATATACCCTTTTTCGCGTTGCCAGCGCCAAGAACCTGCACATGATGCTTCCACCCACCTACAAAGATTTGTGGAAAGGACAGTTTACGGAACTGAAAAAGAGGGATGAGCAGGATGGAAAAGGCTGGATGTACGAAGCTGACCCATTTTTCGGCTTTGCAGAAAGAGAGAAGGCTCGGGAGACAGCTGCCAAAGCGCGCGAGAAAAAGCAGAAAGAACAGGCAGAGGCTCAGAAAGCACACAATCAGCAGCCCGGTGCGGCGATGCCTGCGTCTTCAAAGGAGTCTGCCCCAAGCAGGAATTTGATGAAGGGATGGGAACGCGTGCCAAAGATTGAGTTGGGAAAGCGCACAAGAAAAGAAGCAGAGCGTTTAATCCGCCGCGATGCCCTCTGGAATCCGAATGGTGTAGAGATGGACGCGGCTACCAAGGCTAGGTTGGTCGAGGAAATCGCTGATCTTGGGTTTCGAAAAAGTCATGTTGAAGAGGCAGCCGAAATCTGCAAAGACCGTGAGGAAATCATTGAATGGCTCCTTATTCACGTGCCGGAGGATGATCTTCCATCTTGGTCTTTGCCCGAAGGTTATGTTGCTGGTGTTAGCATGGCCAGTACAAACCTCAAGCGCGAAGGTGCTGTGAAGCGTCTAGCAGCTGCTGGATATGCTGTAGACCTATGTGAAGAAGCCTTTGATAGTCAGGGTGGTGATGAAAGAAAAGCGGCAGCTCTTTTGCAGGCTCGGCTCCTTCGACCAGAAGAGGATGACAACAGCATCTTGCAAGAACTGGCGGATCTTTCGCTGTCAGAGGGCACGTCAGAGGAACCATCTGAGGAAGATCCATGGGAAGTCGAGATGTCATCACTGGAGGCGATATACGATCGCCTCTTTTCACGGCCCACTCCAGAAGCATGCCGGATTGAATTGGACGTCAAGCAACAAGGTAAACGGCTCATTTTACAAGTCCGAAAGCCCTTTGGTCCTTATCCCGCTGTTGTACCAATAATCACATTCGAAGCTGCTATCCCAGCCTATATTCGCCTAAGCATCATCAGGCAGGCCCTCCTTCATGCAGAAGCAAATTTCATTGGCATGCCAATGGTATATGATATCGTGGACTGGATCCAAACGAATGCTGGTGACATCTTCCAAAATCCAGGGAGATTATCAGATGTCTCTTCCGGACTGGCGGCGGCGGATCATATGTCTGAACAACCAAGTCAGAAACGAAAGGCAAAGGGCAAGCCCCGTAAACCTATCGATTGGACACCGGCGACCCCTGCAAGTCAAAACGCGCTGGCTGCCTGGCAAGCTAAACAAGATACTCCTGCTCAACAAAAGATGATGGATGCTCGAAAATCGCTTCCCGCCTGGCGCTTAAGGGAAGAAATTGTGCAGACTGTCAACAGATGTAATGTCACTATCATCTCGGGTGAGACTGGTTCAGGAAAGTCGACTCAATCAGTGCAATTTGTTTTGGACGACTTGATCCAGCGGCAGCTTGGTGCCGTAGCAAACATCGTCTGCACACAACCTCGGCGAATTTCCGCTCTTGGTCTCGCTGATCGCGTTGCTGATGAGCGATGTTCTCAGGTTGGCGATGAGATTGGTTATACCATTCGTGGAGAATCGAAGCAGAAGCCTGGTACTACCAAGATCATATTCGTCACGACTGGTGTTCTTCTCAGGCGACTCCAGACCTCTGGCGGAAATGCCGATGATGTTGTTGCTTCATTGGCGGACGTGAGCCATGTTGTGGTAGATGAAGTACACGAGCGCAGTCTTGATACTGATTTTCTGCTTGTTCTGCTACGACAAATCCTACGGCAACGCAAAGATCTCAAGGTTATCCTCATGAGCGCCACACTTGATGCCGCCGTCTTCGAGGCCTATTTCAAAGAGGTAGGACCCGTCGGTCGTGTGGAGATTGAGGGACGTACCCACCCTGTAACTGACTACTACATGGACGACATTCTTCACTTTACTGGATTCAAAGGCTACGGAATGGATGAGGAAGATGATTCTGGAGATAAAGGCTTCTCTGCAAATCTCCGGAGCATTGGTTTCGGCATCAACTATGACTTGATTGCTGAGACCGTACGCTATATCGACCGTCAACTCGGATCCAAGGATGGCGGTATCTTGATATTCCTACCTGGCACAATGGAGATAGATCGCACTCTCCAAGCGCTAAGCCAATTCGCTAACTTACATGCACTGCCCCTGCATGCGTCACTTTTGCCAATTGAACAAAAACGTGTGTTCCCTCCCGCACCCCATGGCAAACGAAAGGTTATCGCATGTACCAACGTTGCTGAGACCTCCATTACAATTGAGGATATTGTTGCCGTCATCGACACAGGCAGAGTAAAAGAGACAAGCTATGACCCACAGAACAACATGGTCCGTCTGGCTGAGACGTGGGCTTCAAGGGCAGCATGCAAGCAGCGGCGTGGACGAGCAGGACGTGTGCGGGCGGGCGACTGTTACAAATTGTACACACGAAATGCTGAAGCAAAGATGATGGAGCGGCCCGATCCTGAGATTCGTCGCGTGCCACTCGAACAGATGTGTCTCTCAATCAAAGCCATGGGCGTACAGGATGTCTCTGGGTTCTTGGCTTCAGCTTTGACGCCGCCAGAGAGTACTGCAGTCGAGGGTGCTGTCCGCTTGTTATCCCAGATGGGAGCCATAACTGATAATGAGTTAACTGCTCTCGGTCGCCACATGTCCATGATTCCAGCAGATCTACGTTTGGGCAAGCTCCTAGTGTATGGAGCGACATTTGGTTGTCTTGAAGCTGCTTTGACCATTGCTTCGGTCCTGACAGCACGCAGTCCGTTCATATCACCGCGAGAGCGAGATCAAGAGACACGGAACGAGTTCGACCGCCTTCGTGCCTCATTCTCTAACAACCAAGGTGATCTCCTGGTTGATCTCCGTGCCTACGAACAATGGTCCGCACTGCGCAGCAAAGGCACCTCATCGCGCGACCTCCGCTTCTGGTGTCAAGACAACCGCCTCTCCCCCCAAACACTATTCGACATTGCCTCAAATCGTACCCAATATCTCTCTTCTTTGAAAGAAATCTCATTCATCCCCACTCACTACTCCTCTACGAACCCCTCGACGCACTCCACCTACAACAAACACAACACCAACGACGCCCTCCTGCGCGCCCTGATCGCCGGCTCTTTCAACCCGCAAATCGCGCGTATCCAGCTCCCCGACAAGAAATTCGCCGCAGGCATAGCCGGTGCCGTCGAACTGGACCCTTCAGCTCGCGAGATCAAATATTTCAACCAAGAAAACGGACGTGTCTTCGTACACCCATCTTCCACCCTCTTCTCCAGCCAGACTTTTCCCCACAACGCCTCCTTTATCGCGTATTTCAACAAGATGGCGACGAGTAAAGTTTTCATCAGGGATATCACGCCGTTCAATGCGTACAGTCTTCTCATGTTTGCGGGTAGAATTCAGGTTGATACACTGGGACGCGGGTTGGTGGTTGATGAGTGGATTCGACTTAGGGGCTGGGCAAGGATCGGTGTGCTGGTTAGTCGGTTGAGGGGTATGTTGGATAAGGTGCTGGAGGGGATGGTGAGGGAGCCGGGGAAGGGTATCAGTAAGAGGGAGGCGGAGATTGTGGAGGTGGTTAGGTGGTTGGTTGAGAGGGATGGGTTGGATGCTTAGAGTGAGGGTGATAGAAATCACGATGATGTAGACAAGGTCGTTGAATATATTGGGTTAGTGTTAGATATCGTATCTTCCTTCTTTGGCTCTTCTAATCTACGTCTCCTGTCCGCTATTATATTCCCATAAGACTAGAAATATGTGACTGATCAATTGCTTTCTTGATACATGTTAGTTGTGATGCTAACTTCTGTACAAACCACAGTCCGATTTTCTTTTCTGGCGAAGAATTAGGAAGGACACGGTGCGGATTGTGAGATAGAGTTTTGCTCGTGAGCCTGCTTTGGATCTGCGCGTGCGGCATGGAGTAGGTTGTCCATGATGTGGACGTCGTGATACGCGTCATAGCCTCGATTTGGGTGAACATCCGACTGAGCGTCCTTTCTCTGAAGCGATAAGCCATTCAACCAAGCAGCTGAGCTCAGATGCCTGATGAAGCTCGACTTGTGCTTTTAAGAGGCTATTGAGCGGCGTTGCGATGACTTAGCCGAGAGGGTGTTGAAGTACTGATGGAGGGTCGAGGCTGTATTGCAGCTGTAGCTTAGCACTGCAGTGCAAGAATGTAGAACTGGCTTTGTGGATTGGGGGGATATAGCGAACATCGAGTTCGAAGTAATGTGTTGTATGAAACGGGTTTTTACATGTTCCAATAACCCTTCATGCTCAGACAGCTTTAGGGAGCGATCTTGTACATCCATAACAGATGTTTCGGTTGTTACTTTCAGATTCGGATCCATTACCATCGTGTTGATCACCACCCCAGCCGTGAATACCAAAACGGCCTTCAGGCACGGGCATACTGCATAAGCTGCATTGCGGATCCGAGAGCGCATCAGGACGGGCTTGGAGTTTGCCTGTGGTGCGAACAACGTTTGCGACGATACTTGGAAAGTTTTCTTCAACCGACTCGAAATATTGCTTCATGAGGTCGTCTATGGTTGTGTTTTTGGAGCTCGTAGATGCTTGTGTGGGGCCTGAGGATGACTCGTGTACGAGTGAGACCAGACCAGATTCTGGCATGTTGACATAAGATACGAGTTCTTTCTTGAGAACATCTCGCAGAGGGTAGTGGAACTGGAGGCCAAAAGGGGATTCGCCATCTGATATTTGCCAAGGAAGAGAGAAGCCGCGGCCTTTTGCTGTTTCTGCGAGTGTCTTTTGAGCTAGAGTGGTGGTACTGTCTCCCCAGAGAATGCTCTCGCAATCAGCCAACTTGGCGTGCTCTACAATTAAGCGGGTTCGGAGAGTAGAGATTACGTCAGCGCGAGCTGTGGCCGAGGTGAGGGAATTAATCATGTGCACCAACTGGTCTTCGGGGCTTGCTTCAGCCTTTTGTTGAGCTTGGGGCAGTAGGGTCTTGAGTGACGCATCGTCTGGTATCAAACGAAATACATCGTGCAAAGGTAATGAAACATAGTCATGGTCTGGATATTGTGCGCGGACTTTCTCCAGAAGCTCTTCAGTCTGCACGGCATGTCCTGGTTCTCGAATATGGACTGCACTAATCTCAAAACCAGTGCGGCCAGTCTTGCTCTTCTGCGTCTTGAGATGCAAATCCAGGACATGCAGGAGGGAAATGGATGAGAATCCGAAAGACAGGGGAACCAGAATCCTGCGTTGCTTCTGTGCGCCAAAGTTGACCCGGAAAGATTCCAGACGCTTGATGCATTTGGTGTGAACATAGCGGGCGAAGCAGTCACTGTGCAAGTTTTAGCGAATTCTTTTTCTTATGCTTTTGCCCAAGTGGCGTATAACTGACTGGCAGAGGGGTTCAGAGCGAACGACAAGCACGGAAACGCCCTTGCATCGCCTACAAGGCTCCTCAGAAGCGTCAGCAATGTGTTTGCCCGGCATACTGGTGTGGTTGCAGGTGGTGATGTCGATGTTGGTGTTGCGATAGTTGTGCAGGGCTGACTCAGTAGGCGTGTGAAGAGTGCGGGACTGCGCCACATGCAGTTGAACGCCAGGCTGCGCCACAAACGGCCGTGCTAACCCGAGCTGCCGGGAAGGCGGACCTGGCTGGGGGGTTGTGAACGAACGCGCAATCGAAACTGCCACGGCTTCACGCCAGACTTGCGCCCATGACCCATCGTTAACCCGTACGCGAAGAAGAACAACCTTCGCTGACCCGATTCGCATTGTGTTCCCTGGCCTGAAGCGCCATTGTCTTTTAGCCGTCAGCTCCGCCAGCTGGCCTTTCATCTCTAGGCAGGATGAAGGCGGGCTTGCGCCTTATCGCGCTGCTGCTGCTGGCCACAATTACAGCAGTAGCAGCAGTGGAAGTGACTCTGGTAACTTCGCCTTCTACTCTGTGTTCTTTCCACCGCTGACACGCCTCTAGAACCAAGATGATCGCCAGAAATGCTCAGGCATGTACAGCAAGAAGGCATGGGGCGGCAAGGTTGACCCATTTATACTTGTCAAGTTCATAAAAGACCCAAAGAAGAACGAGGGCATTGAGAACCCGATAGTCAGCGTAGTAATATGGGAGTGGAAGGACACGTTGCTTCTGGGTGCTCCATCCGACTTGCCCGTGAACGACGTTGGTACTCAGCAGCCTGATGCTTGGGAAAGTTAACTGACTTGCGCATAGGAAAACCGCCATTATATCTGTGACGACGAATCGATCAAACTGAAATTATGTAACGAAACGCACAAGGGCGAGTGGGTGCTCGCCGAAGACGTCGACAACATCTCTCAAATGTACATCCGGACCGCCGCAATCAACCTCAACGACCCCAAGCCTATCAATTACCCCATCTCAACCGGAGAGAAAAAGGTTTCGATAAAGACGGGATATTACTGCGTGGCAGCGGCAGCCCAAGATAGTCGATTGCAATACGAGGCCGTCGTGGTTTTCCGGAATGCATATGGCGAACTCCAGGCGGCCCAGATTGCAAAACTGCCCTTTTACGGCGGCATCACACTCGTATACTTCCTCGTCTTGACATTCTGGGGCTTCTTGTATTTCCAAAACAGGCATGACATTCTCGCCGTGCAGAACTATATCACCGCTATCCTGGTCTTTCTGGTCTTGGAAATGCTCATGACTTGGGGGTACTACGACTACCAAAACCGCCACGGCAACAATGTCGGCGCCAAAGCACTCATGATTATCGTTGCTGTTCTGAACGCCTTCCGCAACTCATTCTCGTTCTTTTTGCTTCTTATCGTATGCATGGGATATGGTGTCGTCAAGCCTTCCCTTGGAAAGACAATGATGGTCGTCCGCTGGCTCGCCGTGGCACACTTCGTCTTTGGTGTCATCTACGCGGTCGCCTCACTCACTGTTCGCCCAGATGATGCTGGACCTATTGTCTTGCTTGTTATCCTTCCGCTGTCCGCTACACTCACGGCCTTTTACATCTGGACTCTGAACTCGCTAAACCTTACCATGAAAGACCTCATGGAGCGGAAACAGCACGTCAAAGCCACCATGTACAAGCGATTATGGTGGTGCATCTTGACAAGCATTATCGTCATCTTCGGTTTCTTCTTCATCAACAGCTTCACATTTGCTGGTGCTTCTACTCCAGACTTTGCGCCTACCCATTGGCAAACGCGGTGGTTCGTACTTGATGGTTGGCTAAACCTAGTCTACTTGGCTGATGTATGCTTTGTTGCATACATGTGGAGGCCAACGGCAAACAACAGAAGATTTGCTATGAGCGACGAGGTAAGTCTACATATACCATATGCTCCGTACAGGGATGCTGACCCATCCTCAGATTGCTCAGGATGATGAAGGCTTCGAGATTGCCTCACTCAGAGACTCCTTGGACGAGGAGGAAGGGGGCCCGAATCAGGGTTCCTCTTATGATCCAGCGCAAAGGTCCACTAACGATCATGCACGCGATGCATCGCCCCTACCTGCGCCACAACCACAAAAGCCCATTCACCCTCCTAGAGAAAGTCTTGATGGCGATACAATTTTCGCTGTTGGGGAGGACGACAAGTGGAGTAGCGATGGAAGCGAGGAGGAGGAAAGTGACGAAGACAGTGATGAAGATAGTGACGACTCGGGTGCTGGAAACTCAAAGGGAGGTAAGAATGAGCGTTCGAGATTGACTGGTAAAAAAGACGAATAGAGGTTGATTGGCCACAATGATGGCTCGGGTTTCAAAAGCTGTCACTTTGAGCACTGGCGTTCGTCGGAAAGCGATATACTTTCGCATGGGTTAGCGGGTGGCATGTATTTTGAACAAGCTGCCGGTTTTTGCATAGCTGGCTTTCGCAATAGTGCATTTAGATCTTGTTGCTCTACACATTGATGTCATTTTGCGCTTAGAGGCTACTGTCTGACTTCGTTCTTAACTCCGCAAATGCCGAGGCATCTCAAGTAGGAATGTCGTCAGAGTTCTTCACTGCATCTCCAAACTTTACCCTTGCGCAACCACCCATGGCAGCTCTAACTCTAAGCGCGCCCAGGCGCACTGCAAGATACATATGTGACACATGCCGTAATACCGTACGCTATCCACGTAACCCAGCTTTTGGCGTACAACGATATCTTGGCACCGCAGCGTCCTTACGCAGTGAAGACTCACAGCAATTGACGTCGCATCAATACTTTCGCACTCGAGCTGCCGTCCCGAATTCAACTTTTGAATTACCTCAGAGAGAATCCACATTCCGTCAATACTCGACATCGAGCCAGGCTGCATACGCCACGGACTCAGGCTTTGCGCCACTGCCACATCGTCGCCTAATCGCCCTTTCCGGCCCCGACACCGCAAAGTTTCTACAAGGCCTGATAACAAACAATGTTGATCCTGACCGTCAAGCATCATTTTACTCGGCCTTCCTGGATGCGCGAGGCAGAATACTGTGGGACGTTTTTGTATGGGTATGGCCTGAGCTTGTTGCAGAAAAGGGACACTGGGCTTGCTATATTGAGGTGGACGGAGGTGAAGTGGAGGCATTGAAAAAACACTTGAAACGCCATAAATTGAGGAGCAAGGTTCAGATTGAGGAAATCAACCATGATGCAGTACGGGTCTGGGCAACTTGGGGGTCTGCAATTGAGCAAACCAACACTCAATGTCTTGTTGCTAACCTGAAAGATCCGCGCGCACCAAACATGCATCGCCATCTCGCAGACTCAAATGCGCAAACGATAATAGATGGCGCGCAGCCGGCAGATGTTCAAGAATATCACCTTCAACGTTATCGAAATGGCATCCCAGAGGGACAGGTTGAAATACCCCGCGAGGGTGCCTTGCCAATGGAGTGCAACATCGACCTCTCGCAAGGCATAGATTTCAAAAAGGGTTGTTATGTCGGTCAAGAACTCACCATCCGTACAAAACACACTGGAATCGTACGAAAACGCATCTTGCCAGTCGAACTTTACACAACCGCCACATCAGCCGCTCTTCCCGAACATGGCGCCGACATCAAGCAACTTGACGAAAGTGGCAATATCAAGAAAGGACGTGCGACTGGCAAGTTCGTGGCTGGTATTGGCAACATAGGGCTTGCAATGTGTCGGCTGGAGAACATGACACATATGAAAGTCAGTGCCGAAGGGGGCACATGGAAGCCTGGGATGGAATTTGGTTGCGAGACAAAAGATGGAATTGTCAAGATTAAGCCGCTGTTGTATGATTGGTTTGTGTTGAGAGAAAGAGATTTATGGGACAAGAACAGGCAGAGGCTGTGAGAGATAGCTGGACGAAATCCCGAAACTAGTATGTTGATAGCCTCACAATAATGTCGCCCACAGCGTGACTCGTTCGTGCAGTGTAATAGTTCACGTGGTGCGCCTGGCCTGACCGGTAGGTTGACCAGAGGGGCTGTGCATGTGTGGCTTAGCTTCGTAGCCAAGACGTCATCATATATCCATCTCTCATTGCGCTTTTGATGTTCATTACTTGTAACCTAGTAAATGATTTTATCCTTGGCGATTGGTTGCGCTGTACCGCCATTCATCAAATCAACTGAATATACCTAACAGATTTGCGGCAATCAAAAGCTGCCAACCCAAAACATGGCTGTTACCACACTATCGCCAAGGTCATCGGAACATCAATCTTCCATCTCTAATATGATTTCACGTCTCCTCTCTAAGAAAAAGAAGAACCCAAAGCGACGAGACGAGCAAGCAGAGCAAAAGCAAGAGCAAGATACTAGACCACAACTCATCCATGCACCCGTTCCCCTCGTCCTCCCCGAACACCAAGACACATTACTGAAACTTGGATGGACCACGATCACATTCCCAGGAACTTCACCAACAACTCAATCCCCAGACTCCCTCTCTAGCATCCCACCACCAGGGCCACATCCACTCCAAATCGCCTACCAAGACCTCTTCTCTGCCGGCCAAGCTTTCTTCAACCTTGCCGACTCCGAAAAGCACCAATGGAAACACCGTCTCGGCTCTGAAGAAGGATGGTCCAAGATCCCCGGCGAAAAAGAATTCATCACCCTCCGCTCGCTGGCATATTGTCCCGAGATCTTACGCGCTCCTGCCCAACGGTACTGGGAACTTGTCGGAAAACACTGCTCGAGTACCCTAGGTCGCATATCCACGGCGCTTGGGCTTCCTGATGGCGAAAATGAGGGTCTGCGTCAATTCGTGGGGCCGTGTGCGCGGATGCCCGTGGAAGAAGAGGGCAAGACGGCGACGATGTTGAGGCTGTTTAGGTATGAGGGGTGGGAAGAGAAGGTTGTTGCTGAGGCACATGCGGATTTGGGGTTAATTAGCGTGGTTGTAGGCGATACGCCTGGTCTGGAAGTTTGGGATGGGGCCGAATGGTTTGATGTGGAGAGGGAAGTAGAACGGAAGGGCGGAAAGGGGGCTACGATGCTGGTCGGACGCCAGTTGGAGAGGTTGACGAATGAGAGGTTGAGAGCGGGTGGGCATAGGGTTGTTGCGTATGGGGGACCCCGGGATGTGTCTTCTGGAGATGGGGTAGATGGTATGGAGACGAGGTATCGGCACTCGATTGTTTTTGTGCTACGCGCTCATGAGGGTACGCAAATCGATTCGGATGCGCTTGAGACTCGTATTACGGGGAGGTGGAAGCAGCCGATGAATGGGGTTACTGCTGGTGCGCTGTATGAGATGATTAGGAGTCAATGCTTCAATATTAATGTGGAGAAGGAGGAGAGAGATGCACAGAGGAGGAAGCTGGCTGACGCGAAAGGGGTGCGATGAGGCAGGGTGATTGTAGTTTCTAGAGAGATTTCTTGATTATCTCTGTTATAATTTTAACTTCACGTTGAAACTGTCTTCTATGTAAGTACTGATTACTCAAAACTGCATTGCTTTATCTTTTTGAATGTTATGGTAGATACTAGCGAAGAGCTGCATTCTGATGTTGAAAATACAAGGCCTTATTGGCTTCTATGCTACATCGTCTGTACGCGAAAATGGGAAGATATTTCCAGGTGGTTTCTATAGAGTCAAGAGAGTAAGGGAATCTGCAGATACCAGGTCACGTGTCGATGGATCAGGCAAATACATACGATCACTTCCTTATCATGGTCTCAACGCTGTCATCCAAGTACCTTAATGCGACCGTCTAGCATAGCTACGGATCTTTCCAATGGCTCCGTCCCGCCTGGCCCGTATCTGGGCCACTAATGGCGAAAGGCTGGTGTTGGACTTGTTCAGCCTTGCTTTGCATACTACGAGGCGCATTTCAGCCTCGGCTTTCCTGCACATGGCTCATTCTCGCCCCAACCTTCTCACCTCCCTATCTTCCGCATCCCCAAATATCTTCGCTATATTCATTTACGCGTTACATCTGGTACTGCAGTTCCCGCCTCTACCACCACCGCAATGACCACCGGAACCCCACTTCCCGCTTTTAAACACGACCCACTTCCCGAACATAAGTCATATTTTCGCCTACTCCACATCATTCGCGGTGACTTCGGCCAACGCATTGAATGCGAGATCTCTTCCTGGCCTATTGGCGAGGCACCGCCTTACTACGCAATATCATACGTATGGGGCGACACCAATAAGACGACAGACATTACAGTCAACGGCAGTCGTCTGGAGGTGCGGCGCAACTGCGAGTATGCGCTTCAGCAGGCCTTCACCACCAAGGCCTGTAAATATGTGTGGGTGGATGCCATCTGCATTGACCAGACGACCGAAGAAAAGAATCATCAAGTCGGAATCATGGACCAAATCTACTCAGGAGCGAAGCATGTTCTGGCATGTGTTGGGCCCCACGAAGATAATAGCGAAATTCTCCTGAAATTTATAAAGAAACATCGTTCAATATTAACAAGACTCCACGACTTTCCGCACCCATGGTCGACCTTCTCTTTGTTCTCAGTGGCTATGGATCACAAAAGGATATTCCTCCGTTGCCTTCTCTCCGTGAACGGTAGGACGCGCCAAGCCATCTACCAGTCATTCCGCTCATTCATGAGACGGCCATATTTCATACGTCTGTGGATAATGCAGGAACTGAGTCTAGCTTCTAGAGTGTCATTTTGTTTTGGAGCGGTTACAGAGAGAGCTGAGGATTTCTTGGCTCTCTTCTGGGTCCTTAAATTTTGGGAATTCTCCGGCCGCCGGTACCGTAAGCCCGAGTCTGGGGCAAGAGCATCGACTATTAGCATAATGCGTGCTATTTGTTTGTCCAGTTCACCCAATATACATCTGATTGGAGAGATCATTTGTTTATTATCAAGTTTTCGACATAAGGGTTGCCCGGCTATAGACATCGAGTTCGAGAAAACCATCCCATTTGATCGCTTACAACTAGCCTGCACAGAAGTCAAACAATCATTTCACAAATTATTGTTCTACTTTCAAGCGGACTGCAGTGATCCACGAGATCGGTTGTATGGCGTGTTGTCTGTTGTAGACTGGCCACATACACAGAAGCCAGAGGTTAATTACGAGAAGGATCGGTATGAAGTTGCATTGGATGCTACGAGGCTTCTACGCGTGGAGAATCCTGATACCACACGAGAACTATGCCGCATCTTTCAAGTCACAGGGGAGGAGGCGTCTCTTCGGCGTACGCCTGGCCAGTGGTCCAGCACATCTCTACCAACGGTCAGGTCAAGAGGTCGCAATTCTGACCGGATGTTCCGAGATCTACATGGTTGGACAGGT